TGTGCCTGATGAGTATCCCACAGACTAGCTCAAGTCAATGTGACCCACAGGGATTTTGGCAGGATGACAGTTCAAAGTCAAGGGAAAGATTTTAGCAAGTTTTGGTGTGTTCTCTGTATTTCTTTGAGAGGTCTTCTATCACATGAAGAGACTTTGCTCTACTTGTATCCTCATCTAAATCAAGCCACTTCTATTTAATGCTATTTCCATACACCTCTTCCTTTTCACTTACTTCACCTTAGTGCTTTTTCCTGGCATACTCAAAAAAGCAAATTCCTTGATAGTTACTGAACTCAATCTTGTGCTCTTCCTCATAAATTTCTATTAACGTCACCTTTCCTTTTGCTCAGTATTGACTACTGTTTGCAGTCTTGCTGAATGGTTTCTGGCATAACATTTTGTGCCTACTTGTGTCGGGATCTGCAATGATGCTGTCACTCAACACCACCTCTTTCTTTTTCAAGCTTTCTGTCCACTAAAACTTTTTCAAGCAATGTCAGAATCTGTTCTCCCTCCTTGTGCTGAGAAGTTGTTTCATCTCAGCTCCATTTGTTGCACAGCTCTTCATAATTTCCCTTATGTTGCTTATTCAGTCATTAGTCTGTGCTCATCCTCATCTTAACTCAAAAGTCTAAATTCTCTCTTTTATCCAGTGATACAAACCCCATGTTGCATAATGTTGCTCTCTTCTCTCTGATCAGCCATCAGGGTAAGAGACATGGCACTTGGACTATCCTCCCCCTTCATATTCTTCAGCTTCCTGCTCTCTGTTGCTGCGGCTCACCTTCATCTCTCTTCCTTCATTCAGCTCCGAGCCCTTCCCCAGACTGGTTAGGATAGGCCTCCATTAGCAGTAAATAGCTACTAAAGGAAATCATGGACTTTCTTTGGTTTTGTTTTCTGTGTGTAACTACTTGAAAACCATCTGGGTTTTACTTAATTTTAGGAAAATCCAGTAAGGAGTTACAGTGCTCGCCACAGCAGAGGAAAATTCTCAGGAGCGTACTGGCACACGACTTCCCAAAATAGTTAATGACTTTATTTGGAGGAATGCACTGACCCGTTTAGGTGGCATGCTGCATGGCTGAAATGTGTCTGAAAAGTGCCCGACAGTGGTGGTATACAAATTCATCACCACCAGAAGAACAGATGAACATCAGTGGATGCATGCCAAAATCTTCACACAGGCTTCGGATTTTAGGTTTTAACCTTTCCAGTGCCCTGAAGATGCCTTCAAAATCTGCAGAACCACTGACCTCTTCAGAAAATATTGGCCTAAATGCTTTACAAGTACTTTACATTGTTAAAAAAAAGTATTAATGAAGCTTTATAGAAGTGAGTAATCTTTAATAATTGGCTTCAGCTTCTCAGGCAGTGTGCAACTGCTTATTTTGAGAGAAATGCTCAGCGCAGCTTGAGAAAGAACAGCCAATCCCCCTGCTAGCAAAGGAATGAAGACCAATAGGATGTAGTAGCAACTCAAGTATTCTTAATTTCAGACATCCTTGGTGACGTTGTTTTTCAGAACTGGAAGTGCCTAGATGTGACTGCATGCATACATGTGCATATTATGAAACAATTGGTTGCTCAATGAGTATTTTTAATTAGTATTTTCCTTTTAAATGCTCCATTTACCCTCTTCACACAAGGTATTTTTGCCACGTGCAGTTTTTATTGGAGTAAACAAACTCCTTTCAGATAGCTCCTTCAAGCCAATTCAGAGATATCTTGACCCTCTTTTAATTTTTTCCTTCCCATGACGCATTCCTTTAATCCCGCTTATGTTTTCTGAAGTGAACTCTACACAGTCATATTGACCTCAAGAGCTACAGACTCAAAGGACTGGGGCAGACGAGAGGATATATCAGATAAGAGATCTATTTTAAGCAAAACATTTTTCTTAGGTCATATACTTTTTAGATTTAATGTCTTTGTAAAAAATAAGACTTCAGGTTATTAATCTTTTTTATATTCAGTGGGTGAAATAAGTTATTACAAAACAACTATACTATACAAGGTGAACTGTCTGTTGATTTTCTCTTTGCTGTTTATGTTGTTTGGGGTCCTTTTTGCTTTTCCAGCCAGAGGATGAGAAGTTGACTGAAGGGTCTCACTTCTAATTAAATCTGTTGAGCAGTTAGTTCTGAGTTTTAGCTCGGCAGGAGGTTGAAGGTTTCAGTTGTTTAAGATCTTTGTGAAAACAATTTACATAACAAAATCAATTGACATTTTCTGTCTATTTTCAGAAACTTAGCCTTTTAATTAGTAATTCTAACTGTTCTGCAAGGCTGCAATTTTCCTGACCCCAGGGAAAGCAGAGCTCGTTTAGCCTATGAAAATCTGAGACTGGTTTGCTCCAGAGAGGATCAGTCCTGCAGTCCTGAGTGCACGCTGCTTTTCTAATAGTTTCAGCGAAGGAGCAGCATTAGCTACTGCAAAGAGCACAAGGCTGGGTACGCTTCCCGGGGAGGGCCTAAGGAGTCAAAAAGAGGAGAATATCCTGAGGTCAGAAGACTGTAGCTTCACTGAAAGGTAAAGATATATTATGCCTGGGATCAATATCTAATATTTAGGAGAGCAAAGTAAGTGACAGCTAATAGAAGAATTGATATTTCTTCCTTCCCCTCGGTGGTAAGGGGCAGGAGGGAGAGGTCATCTTTCTAGGAAAGAGAACGCAGCCAGTTACCTGAGTACCTCAGCTGCACGCATTGCATAAGGCCTCATTTAGTACCTGCTAATGAACTTAATTTAAGCATGTATGTCCCTGCCCTTGCCTCCCTACTCTGCTTTATGGACTTGCAAGTTTGCTTATGCTAAAGGGCATAATTTCCATACTCCCAGGCATGTTCCATCAGCCTGTGTTGGAGCATGGGCTGGTGTCCAAATAGTTTGGATATGAAGTGAATTTGGGCTCCAGGGACAGGCTCAGACCTGCTCTTGAAATTGCGCAGCGATGACACCAGGGTCCTGCTTTTATATTTGCAGTTGACTGGCTGACACGGCTGCGACCTCCAGCTGCGACAGCAGTGTTCTTCGTCCCTGCTTAAACCCAGCCTTGGCTTTCTCCCGTCAGCAGGGAAAGGGGCTCCCTGTTGTGCCACAGTCCCAGGGGAACTGGGAAAAAGCTCTGTCACTTGACAATTCGGTATGAATTCGGTGAAGCTGTAGCTCAGGTAGACAAAGATCCCCTTTTGATTGATTTTTGTGATTACTGGTTTCTATTTTGGTCATGTAGACTGAAAAACCACAGAGATGGTGTTTTCTTTAGCGTGGGAGGTGGCTCCTGCAGGGGGGTTCTGGCCGGGCCCCCCGGGCCGGCACAAGACACTGTCACCGTGGCAGGCGCCAGCCCAAGGCACCGCCTCCTCCCGCCCCCTGCCTGGGCGTGCGGAAGGTCGGGGTCCGGTCAGGATTACCGGGGGGGTGGGGGTGCTCCCCGGTCCCCTCAAAGGGAAGGCGAACGGCCAGAGTTCGCGGTGACAAAAGGTGCGGCCTTGCCGCTGT